TTGAGTAATCAGAAATACTGTTTAAAATGTATTGTCCCATGCTAAATACCAAAAAAAAAGTCATAAAAATATTTTTTGAAATTAACTTGCCCATTTTGAAGTACAGTAACATAAAAGTTATCAACTTGAACATTGAAATTAGTGTATTTAAAAAAATGTCTACCCATCAGTTTACAGCGAAAAATGATAGAAATACTTCCAGTCACTGGAATATTTTATTATTTTTATTATAATTTTTTGGTTTAACATTTTTTAAATTATGCACAAGTTAATAATTTGTATGCTATTGCAATTTGAGCAAGTTTATTTCAAAATTATTTTTTATGATTTTTTTTACATTAGCAATGGACAATACATCTTGAAACAAAAAATAAATAAATCTTAAAACACGTAGTTATTAAAATTTATTAACTTTAAAAAAGTCGTATACTATAAAAAATTAATAATTATAAGCAATATTAAAAACGAGTGAAAACATACTAGCACAACACCAGTGGCGGATACAGTAATTTGAAATAGGAGGGCCCAGGGAAAAACTTTAACAGATGGGGTGGGCGGTTCACCACCGGGGCCCCGCCATGGTTGAGGCTGAGGTAAGAAAATTATTATTATGGCACCTCTAGATGACCGGAAATGGGACGCTCAGACTTAACATTTTGAATTTTCTTGAATTGTAATAAAAGGCTTAAATAATCAGAAGTACCACTGTAAACAAATAATTAAGAGTTTTTTCCTAAGTATGCTACTATGAAAATAAATGAAATCAGAAAACTGTAATTTTCCGATGCGATGTTCTAGGCCTAAAAGCCGTCATAATTTATAACTATATTCAATTTATAACTATATTCAATTTTCCATATATCATTCATGTGTTCAAAAGTATTTTCCACTCAGGCCGTCGTCCTCTGACCTTTCGTGTGAAATGACTGCCTTTAGATCCTCCTTCCCCCTCCCCATGCAACTCTTTTAGTATCCCCGACGTCAGGGAAAAGTATTCCTGTCATCAATCCGTAGCGCCGCTGCTGCTATACCTAATATAGTATCGATAAATTTCCGTTTGTGTTCTGTTGTATATTTTAACAGGTGTGACCTATGTATGATATGTGACGTCTCATGTGATCGATGTCGGTCTCAATACCATATTCCTAAATAGCAAGCCATGCCTTCTAGCTTCCTCTGTTGCCAATAAATATCCTTGATAAAAAGTTACAGTTCAATTCAATTCAATAAACCTTTATTATCCCAAAATTGGGAAACTTATTTGACCTTTACAGCAAAACATACAAACAACAAAGATATGCAAATACATATAACAGTACTCCTCAGTTAAAAATCGGTTTAAAAATGGAAGTTAAGAGAAATTTGATACCAAAACATTGTAAAATCTTATTGCTGTAGAAACGAATGACTTCAATATCTGTTTGTTTTAATTTTACGATTTAACATGCTTCCACTTTTACTATTTTTCACAAATCAGATAAAATAGTTGGTTTTTCTGTAAAAGGCATTTATACAAATGTGCAGATAAAGAAGGGCTACAGTTAGGCTTGATGAACTTCAATAACTGTAAAACCTATCTATTAATTATTGGCTTCTTATGGGTCATAAATCAGGCATCCGGACTCTGCAAACCTAAAAATGTTAACATATATGATAAAATGTTTACTTCTTCTGGGCTGCTATGTTAAACTTAGCAGAGCTAATTAAAGTAGGCCTACTAATCTTGGGAGGCTTTTTTTTTTATGGTACCGTACTGTTTACAGGGTTTAATTGTAGATCTGAGAGGAGTAAACCCTAGAGCATAACGCGATTTTGGCTTGTTTGACGGACAGAGAAGAATAGGACCACGAAACGCACCTAGTGATCGATTTTTATCGCTATTTATTCTATTTATGACCTATATCATCTTGCTCATTTTCAAAACCACCCAGTGCACATTACCCAGGAGTTGCATTTTTGTCTTTATTTTTTTTTTGTATTAATACTTTTTTTCTGTATTTTTTAAAAATTATTTTTATGTCAAGGACCAAATTAAATTCCCTCACGGGCCAAATTTGGCTCGCGGGCCGCCTATTAAGAACTAGGGGTCCTATACAGTACAACTCTTAAAGGACACCTTCGGGACAAAAAAAAAATGTCTGCTTAAAAGTGTCTCTTATTTAGAGGACAAATCAAAAACGTAAAATTGTTTCATTAGAACCGGGTGTTGGCACACAGACATACAATTCATAATTTTATTGTATAAGAAGATGGGTTACAATTGAATATAGCTTAAATTAATTAATTTGTAAGAAAAAAAAATCAATGCAAATATAGTAGGTCTATATTATAATAATAGGGTAGAATATTTGTTGAATCTACCATCTTAGACATTCGCGAAAATATCCTTTGTAAAGCTATTTCAATGCTTTGTAAAGCTATTTTATCCTAGCAGCCTAGGCCTACTATAGCTATTTCAACGCTTTGCAAAGCTATTTCTGCTAAAAGCTATTTTATGTAACCAGTAAGTTCATGTTGGTAAAACGTGCTGTTAACATGCTTTCTATTGATTTGACCAGGGGCGGATTTAGGGGTGGGGGTGGGCCGCCGCGGCCCCTCTCCCTTTTGGAAAGTAAAAATAAAAGAAAGAAAAAGAAAATATTGATCTCCCAAAACGCCTCAGACGTTATTTGTGGACATCCAGAAAACAAACGTTTCGCGGGAGCATATGTCCCCGGACCCCCTAGCTTAGTGTTACCTCGATCGGCTCACTTTTGCGCTCTTCCCCACTCCCCCATTTCGGACATCTCTGGATCCGCCACTCTTGACCAATAGCTATATAGCTATTTCAGTGCTTTGCAAAATTTCATGCTAAAGCTAGTTTCATGCTACTAGCAAGTTCATAGTAAAGTGCATGCTGTTAACATGCTTTCTATTGATTTGACCAATGTTGCTATTTTGTAAATGCTTTATAGCTATTTTATGTACAGCTATTTCAGTTTTTCATAAACCTATGTTATGCTACCAGCTATTTTAATGCTTCCTAAAGCAATTTCAATGCTATTCCAATGTAAAGCTATATCAATATTTTTTCTATGCTACCAGTTATTTGATGGCGATTCAATGCTTCCTCAAGCAATTTTAATGCTTTTGACCAATATTGTGGCTTTGTGTCGTCAATTTATAGGAGTTGGGCATAATACAATGTAAGTGTCTTCTATTAAGGAAGGGGTGTAGGCTTACTATAGTTCAAATCCAAATCAATTATCTATGTATTTCCACCCCTACACTCGAAAATATTGTACATATCACATGGTAATGAATTCAGCACTGTCTTCAATCAGGATGTGTTTATATAGGCCTACATAGCTATACATAGCCATGCACTGGCATAGAAGCTAACCACGTGCTTAGTAAGGCACCATAAAAAAAGTATTAGTTTATCACCCTATAAAAAATAAAAACTGATGAGGGAGGGAGGTTTTTTTTTTTGCTAACCCCGCCCCCATTTTACCGATGTTCGCAAGTAAATCAATGGTTAAGGACAAATTTATAAAAAGTCATAAAAAATGGAATGAAATTTATATTAAAAAAGAAGTTTTTGTTGTACCAGTACACATATCTGCAAGAAATCCTGATGTTTCAAGTTAAAAAAGATGGAAAAACGAAATGAGATAGAAATATATGTGATTGAAAAAAAAAATCAGAATTTTCCCAAAAGTGATGAGGGAGGGGGTGATAAACTAATAAATTTTTTTATGGGGCCTAATGTATAATGAATACGCCTGACTATAGACTGGATGGTTTCTTCATTATAACTTACCAGGCCAGCTTGATAAATAATTGATAATTATTTATAGGCATAGGCCTAATAAGCAGCAAAAACACAGCCTTATTAAGAAGTAGCAAGTAAGAATGTGAGTGTAGCACGTTACTGTCCCAAAACAACACGGTTATTTTACGAAATTACGTAAATCAACAGACATCTAAAGAAAAATAGTTGATCCAAGGTTGCTGATGTGTAACCACAGGTACGGTAGCCAGGAGATTTTTACATGGGTTTTGGCAAACCCCGCTTTTCAGAGAGCAGCATTTTTCAGCAAACTCCCTACCCAAATATCCCATAGCCTACAATATTTGTTTTCAGTCAAAATGCAATCCTAATATTCAGTATAGCACACTAGAGAGCTTGTAGAAAACAACATAAATTTATAGCAATGCACGAACACAAAAACACTAGGCCCAAGCCAAAATTCAAGTGTCAAGGGTATAAACACATGTTAAGGGTCGATCAGAAAAATGCCGTAATGTCCTATGATTAATGGCTATGCATCTAGAATTAAACATCTGGGAAAGTGATTTTTTATAGTCATTTTTTTAAATAGTTTTTTTATAAAGTGATTTAAGAGAAGAAAAAACTTGAAAATATTGAATTTGGGGGTGAATATAATTCTTCTGGTTTAAATATGTTTTATTGTACTATTCGTACACATCAATCTAGAGATTTATTACACCATAATAATAAGCACATGTGGTGGTAATAAGATTTACCAAAAAAATGCGGATATTTTATTAATTCTGATATTTAAAGTTAAAGTAACATTTTTGAGCTGACGTCATTTTGCACGTACATTAGTTCACGAAGCGATAAGCTATAACACATAATAACACAGAATAACATAATGGTATTCTTACCATTCCAACAGGCATAAAATGATGTACGTGCGTGAAATTTTTTTCATTTTCTCGAGAGCCACTTTAAACATCTATTTACCTCGCTTTCATTCGCCTAATCCGGTGGCTATGACATCGATCGACCTTTTAGTGTTTGCATCCATTGTAAACCACTTGCTCAATATTTCCACTCTCCTTTGGGAGGACATTTTATGTCATAACACTGACATGGTAACCTGGGAGAAATTCCACTATTATTATTAGGGTAATCATTTAAATCAAACCCTGATGGTCTGTCGCACTGTTAATTGCATACTGCATGCAGCGAAGCTATCCTTATAATACGACCATGCAGTTAGATGTTGTTAGACTAGCTTGGGAACTGTGCCGAGTGGGACGCTCTTCTTCCGTTAATAATATTTTCCGAAATGGAAAAGATGATACTGTAATCAAGAGAGAATTTTATCATATGCCACGAATAATTATTAGCTTTATCAACGGATGGAACATGTGTTCTGTAGGCCTAGGCTTATAGAGAAACTTAACATTCCCATCACGTGGTTTGTGAATAATATACTGTTTGCCAAATCTTGCGAATTTCACACTAAAAGGTAAGAAAGCATAACAAAAATAAATCGAGATAATTAAAAAATTCTGTACACTATATATAATTCTGTAAAAAGGAAATAGGCAGGTCCAAGAGGTAATAATATGTTTGTGTATACTATAATAAAGTCAATGAATTGAACATCAGGAAGTTCTGATGAGTCCTCATAGTTAAAAACAATTAAATTCCTGGTCATAGGGTAACGTGTTGTTGTAATTAGGCCATGATTTTTAATAGGCCTATTGAATTTGATACATTTTTATTGACTGACTAAAGATTTTGACGTGTATTTTATTTGGCCTATATGAATTTTATTGCTTTTCTATGCTAAGAACCCGGCGTATACATTACTTTTGAATGCATTACCGGTACTGTAGGTATGATGATAATAATATGTAGCTCTCTCCCTTTCTTTCTCTCTCTCTCTCTCTGTCTCTCTCTCTTTTCTATGATTCCAGGTATAGGTTATGTTGGGTTAAGCCCTGATTTCCGGAGAGACAATACTCAAAAACCACAGCATAGCTAAGCGTAGAATTCATATGTGCGCGATTTGCACTGTCGTGTAAATATCTCGTAATGTTCTAATAACAACACTGGATCGGCTTGTCTATGAACATTGTAATTATGAACAGACTGACACCGTAAAGTGCGGCTTAATTACAACGTGACCTGATTTAGAGATGTGGGTCATTTATAATAATCTGGTTTATTTAATATTTAATAACAGTAGAAACTAAATTGTGTCAACACATAATATATTTTTGGACTGAAAATAGGCCTAGATATGCTTAGATGAGATACGACAAAATACGGTGGTTATACAAATTGATGCTTATTATAATTTCTTTACTCTTAGGTCTATACATTATGCTAATTAAGTATTCTAAGCATATGAGGTTGGCTATTCCGCGACGGAACAATTTTCTGTGGCGCTGGTACCCTATTTTCCATCAAAAACCTAAAAAGACGAAGAAAATCATACCAGAAAGGAACCACTTGTTGAGCTGATCACGACTTTCATTATGAAGTGTAGAAAGCAAACCAAGCCAGTCATGTATTTCAGTTTGAAGCTAGGCCTAGTGAATGAAAGCTAAACATTCTTTAAGATAAACAAATATATACGCATTATTCCATTGTAATTATTATATTAAATAAGTTATTATTATACAATGGAACAGTGCGTATTTTATTGTTTATTTAAATATTTAACTTTCATTCAATAGTTATAAAGAATTTTGAATATCTGTGCCCATTTTAATAAAATTAAGACACTTTTATTTATTTTAACCACTAAAACACATACCATGCAAAAAACAAAAACAAAAACACACACACACACAGCAAGTACGTTATGGTAAGAAAATGTTATTTAATATCCGGCGAAAATGTAGGAATAAGATTTTTCACTAGACTAAAATTCTATCAATTCATATAATTATCTACAAATATCAACTCTTATATAGACCTACATTATGTTATATAAGAGACAGTATATATATATATATGATTTTTGATTTTTTTTCTGTGGCATATTTTGAAGTATAACAAAGGTATCAGAGGATATATACCGTATCCAATCCAATCCAAATCAAAATGATATTTACAAAACGAAGGTGATAATGATATAGTCGTATATAATAACAATAGGCCGATAATAATGATATATATATATATATAATATTATAAACAAACAAATATATAAAATCATATATAAATGATCATACTGAAATAGTGTTTTTCATACGTTTAGAGTATAGTATAGCAATAAACAACATAACTTTACCCTCTGTAGCAATGATATAGGCTATAACTTAACTAATAATAAGAAGTATGGCATCTGGTTCATAATAATATTAGTTTATTAGGAACTACACTTTTCCATCAGTGGCATACTTCTCAATAGAAGGTACGTACAAAAACAATACAGTAAAGTTTACAACATACTTAAGCAGAGATAAAAACAATTCAAATTTGAAACGGGACATCAAGGTAAAGTAAATAGAAAAAACACGATAATGTTTAGTCATGTAAAAAACTTAAATGTAATAAGGCAAAAGAAAGTAATGCAAGCAAACGCACATGAACCTCGATATTTTCTAAATATACATAAAAAATGTTATAATTGGGAATCACATATCGTCAAAGTCTTGCGGTAACGCTTTGTACATAAATAAATTAATGTATATTTATAGTAAAACGCATGAAGAAAAACTGTAAAGTTGCCGTAACGTATAATGTAAATACAAGCGTCTTCGGGCATCGCCATTCAGCCGTCCATAATATCACTGTATTTAAGTTGCTTACATCTTCTCTGTAGACCTACATCTGTCTATAATTTATAAGGCCTATTATGATCAGCTTTTTGGCGTAATCTTTAAGTTTTACAAGCATTTATTGTAGGTCTAGGCTATTTTAATAGAGAGTTTAAAGATTTCAAGCAAGCGACATTCTGTCAACATTGATTTACGGCTTAAACCAGAGAAGCATCTCTGCTGTTTTGTTATAAATTTGAGCTTCCACATGCTGTGAACTTTCAGTGCATAGAAGTAATACCATAATAATAATAATATTATCTGCTTGCATCTGGTTGCAAATAAATCAGCATTAAACATACCATGAGTCTGAGGTTAAAATGGAGAAAGGGGCTAATCATATTTCATAATACAGTAATGCCATAGATTCATTTTCACTCATATAGCTCGTAGAAGACATGTAGCCTGCAGTTCGTGTTTTAATATTTGTAAAATATAAACACACTTTCCTCTTTTTGCATAACGGAAGGAAATGTCGTATTTGTTTAGCCCAAAGCAAATGTAGTGTCCCATTACATTATAAGAAGGTACACCTGGACGTGGGTGTTCATTATTAAAAATTAGCAAGTTTGTCGAGTTCCCAGTATCGGATGTCAAATGAAAAAAAATAAGATATGGAATGCGTGGTATGATGTGGGAAGTGGTGTCCATGGGTGACCAGGTATATTTATTCTCTGACACTCTCAAAACACTTGTTGAACATTGTTTTTCAGGTCAGTGCAAGGACCTCACAGTAGGCCTATTCAATTTTCTCTTAGAAGTATTGTGGTTCTCCTTCATTGGTCCTAATCATAAATAACAAATTCGGTATAGATAAACCCCTCCAACCAAAAAAGAATAAAGTTGACCAAAAAGATTTTGCCACGCGTTTTTTTTTGTTTTGTTTTGTTTTTTTGTTTTGTTTTTTTGTTTATTTTTGTTTTTTGTTTTTTGTAGTCTGTCTCAATAGGGTTTAACCAAACGGTAGTTAAAGAATCGTCAGCCACAGCCATTAAGGCAATGACTTTCCTAAGTACGTTTGTAATGCATTAATGAATTTCAGTACTTGGAACATGGGGGCATGTAGACCTACATTATTATACTTTCTTATCTGAGATTTATCTGTGGACCTTTCGGTTAATGCAATTTTAATAATGACTGATATGTCGGCCATGAAATGCCAAAAGTATAAAAAAGATGTTGAATATAGACAATTGAAGGAGTTATTACAGAGCATTCCTCAACTCGTCAATATTGGGATTCGAACTAATCCATATATTTGTGATAATTCTATTGTTTTTTAGTACTCTTCTTCTGTTTCAACTGATGTAAGTTTCAATATAGCGCACCGTCTTTCGGATGAGACGTTTAAGCCTTAGTCCCGTGTGTATCTTGAAGAACGCAGTACACTCTTCTGAAAACAATAGGGTAGGCCTATGTTTCCCGGTATACTGTCCAATCACCACCAGAAAGAACAGGTCTTCTTTGGGCTTTCGTGGGTGATGTGCTTGGTATTTACACCGAATATTGTTGTTCATATTACATGTAATAATAAATGTGGTTCCAACATGAAATAAATAAATGCAGAGTCTTAAGTCATACAACCTCACATGCGCAGTCAATAGGGCGATGACTTTCCTGAGCTGTAGGTTGGCACGAATACATTAATATCCTAAAAGTATTATTCAAAGTAGTAGACAAATACGTTTGAAACGTTTTTGTATTTTTGAATAATAATGAGTCAATCATAATGTATGAATTATGTACAATTGTCATTAATTGACATTTATATTTGATATCCCACTCTCATAAAAAAAAAATAAAAAAATAAAAAATAAAAAAATAAAAACCTTATGGAGAGTTATATAGGTCAGTGGTTAAGATGCTTGCCTTCTAGTCATAAAGTTTTGAGTACAATCTATTGTACTGTAAAAGAGAAACGTTTGGCGAGTTACTTGCTGTTGGATGCGATAAAAGCAAAACATGTAAAGTAGGCCTATATCGTCTATATTAAAAACGTGGTAGACCCCTTTTTCAGAAATGTATTCTAGAAATTAAGCATGACATATAACAGATTTTAATACTGTACAGCAAATTAGATAATTTAAAATGTTCATCAGTGTGCGGGCACATTATTTTATGCTGATGTAGCCTACAGTGCTTGAATTATACTGGTGATACCGTTAAGCTAAATCTACAATACAAATAATGACTCATGGTAATAAAGCACATGAACTGATTATTAGAAGATTGATAATTTGAACTTTTCAACTCGATTGAGGAACATCTGCCAACGTTTCAGAACATTAATTTGTAATTACACGGGCATGTCCAAGACTTCTATTGGCTACTTCTGTCAAATGAGCATTACATTGGAGAACGTAAAAAAAGAATCAAATTACCTGGGTGAGATAGTGTTTGTATTTCATTTGTATAAGTAGTCTCCTTTATGGCCGCTTATGTTTATGATAGCAACATATATTCATGGTATTCACATTTAAAAACATAAAAGTATAGGCAATTTAAATGCCTATACTGTATATAAATGAATAATATATATATATATATATATATACCGCATTTTATTACGGGAAAAACAACTTAAAAAAATATTTAAGCTGTCTCTTATACACATCTAGATGTGTATAAGAGACAGCAATATACTACGACTTCAAGGCCGTGATCATCTGTTGAGCATCTAGATGTGTTGCTTTGCCCTAGATGTGTATAAGAGACAGGAGTACAGAATAGTTTATTAGCGACCACTATGGTAAAACTTTCTTACCCACAACCTGAAGCCGACCTGATTTCTAGAGTCCCACTTTTGATCGCGATTCTGACCATGATAGAAGGAACGATTATAGTTTTAATTTATATCGCAATGAAACAACTGTCGAATAGAGTGTATCAACCTGTTGTAGAAGAGACAAATACGATTAAATCGGATGAAGCTGTAAATAACGGGGGACGTAACGGGTGGACTAAACTGACTCAAGTGAAAGGGAAGGAGAGAAAGATATACATTGGAGATGACTACTCGAGTGACGACAATGAAACACCAGATACACATGGGAACCTAGACGAGATGAGTGGCTGCGACGGAGTGTAATTCAAACCAAATAAACCCTACTTCCATTACATGCACTATCGTATTGGTCTATGCATTAGCTGTCTCTTATACATGTCAGGCACGTATATATCGTGATGTCAGGCACGTTTTAAAGAATGATAGAAACTTAGATTGTTTCGGACGCTTGAATCATCACAGTCCCTTCGTGCTCAAGTGGTTATGATGTTCGCCATATATGCGAAAGTCCCGGGGTTCGAGTCCCGGTGGAGGCTGAGTTTTTTTTCCTTTCTCTGTCATATGCCTCTTCTGTTACGTTTCAATTTGTAGTCATTACATTATTCCTCTTGCTGTTTCTGGATTTTCCCATAGGCCTTCAAATCACTTTATATATACAAGTATTTCACATAAGATCTAGCAGCCTGAAAATAATATGCAGAAGAGGGCATATTTTATAGATATGTGACAGTTTGGTCATGTTCGATATTAGCGCTGTATCAAAATCGTGACGTCAGAGAATGAAAGAAAACCACCACAATGCCTGCGTAGGTTTACCGCAAGATAGTTTAGAGTTTATGTGAAATTTTCGTTTGAAATGGTTAAGAAAAGGCGTATCAAATGATTTTTGTTTTATGTTAAAGAGAAGCAAATGTTTTCTATCTATATTATACAAATTGTAAGGATTTTATTAAATTAGAATTTTTGTTTTAAAGTTCGAAGCAATTGTCGTTAGTTACATGCGGTACTTTTTATTTTTACAGATGAATGCTCTAACAAGATATGTGTTGGTATTCAGTGTACTTGTTCGATTGTCGTCGCAATCCAACTGCTTGACGAATGAATTGAACCTCAGTGGAGAGGAAGACCAGGAAGTGGTCATTTTTGTCACCGAAAGCGAATTGAAAGACGTTGTCATCAATATCACATATACTGAGTCAAACGCCACGTTTTCTTTAGCAAATATGGACGAAGACATCTTCCATGTAAAGTTCAATGATATGCCTGATAAAGAGATAAATTCTACTAATGATGAAATTATGAAAGATGAATTGCATTTAGGAATACTAGGCTTGAAACTCGGTATCGGACAGTTTAAAATCGTCCTAACATTTTCAGATAGTGAATGCGAGTTAAAACCTAGTTACCGTGTGAAAGTCTTGCGTAAACCAAGCGTAATCGACAGTGCATTTACTTACTCGCTGCTGAGCTGGATGATAATCTCGTACGTCACAATGGGAGTAAAGATGGATCTGAGGATAATCTGGGGAAAATTACGTCGACCCTACGGCGTAGTTACAGGAATAATATGCCAGTTCGGGATAATGCCGGGGTTAGCTTTTTCTGTTGCTAAGATTTTATCATTACAGGACGCAGTCGCCATCGGACTTTTAATTGACGGATCTTGTCCAGGCGGATGGCTTAGTAATGTGTTCTCTCTGCTGCTTGACTGTGACTTCGTTCTCAGTTTAACTATGACCTTCTGCTCGAGTTTCTTAGCCCTTGGGATGATGCCACTTAATATGGAAATCTATGCAAAACCATTCACGAGCGAAGGTTTGAAAACGCCGTATAAAGACATTATTATGCAACTTGGACTAATGCTTATCCCGGTCGGTATAGGTATAATAATACTATATAAATTTACCAAAATGGCGGACCTTTGTGTTAAGCTTCTGAAACCATTTGCCGCCGGTCTGATAGTGATAGCCTTGAGTTTAGGTATTCCTTCGCAGATGTTTATTTTTCAGTCTTCGTGGCGAATTTACGTTGCCGCCGGTATTTTCCCGCTAATTGGTGGCATCACCGGCTTTTCTATTTCGAAGATCACTCAAAGAAATACCCCAGAGGCGCTGACAATTGCATTTGAAACAGGAGTACAGAATAGTTTATTAGCGACCACTATGGTAAAACTTTCTTACCCACAACCTGAAGCCGACCTGATTTCTAGAGTCCCACTTTTGATCGCGATTCTGACCATGATAGAAGGAACGATTATAGTTTTAATTTATGTCGCAATGAAACAACTGTCGAATAGAGTGTATCAACCTGTTGTAGAAGAGACAAATACGATTAAATCGGATGAAGCTGTAAATAACGGGGGACGTAACGGGTGGACTAAACTGACTCAAGTGAAAGGGAAGGAGAGAAAGATATACATTGGAGATGACTACTCGAGTGACGACAATGAAACACCAGATACACATGGGAACCTAGACGAGATGAGTGGCTGCGACGGAGTGTAATTCAAACCAAATAAACCCTACTTCCATTACATGCACTATCGTATTGGTCTATGCATTAGTAATTAAGAATATCGTTGTAACTAATCATTAATATTATAATGATTCATAAGTGTGTGCTTCTTACCAATCCGAAATTATTTAAATAATTCAAGACTAAACTGTCGGTAGTTACTTCATGCGACTTCGCTCGTCATAATAACGTTTTTAATATTAGTTAGTACAAGTTGGAGGGAAGCAATTGTTAGTTGCTTTATGTCTAAACCGAGTTTCCATAAAATCGCTACACTTTATCGTCGACCCCTTTGGCGACGCTGATTGGTCTGTTGAATCTGGGAGCGTTCCCGATCGCGTCGGGGACAGCTACGCCGTGCAAAGATTGCAGGGAAAATGCTGTAGCGACAGTGTAGCGATTTTATGGAAATTACGCTTTACATAGAAAAAGTAGAGGATCACTAAGTACATTATGGATTATGGAGAGCAAAGAACTACTTTAAATTATAATTATGAACTGTACTAGTTTTATATAATAATGACAATTAACAACAGTAACACTTTATAGACTGCATCTCACACTAATCTCTAACGTTTATTTGGTCTTTTGCCATTTGCTTAAATCGCCATGCATCTACATTTTATTATACTGTAAATACTTTTCTATTTTTGTATTGAAATAAACATAATTTCTGAGATTGCAGATCTCATTTTATTATTAATATTATTAGTTCCAATATATGGAAAGAATATTAACGTAGGCCTAATTTTTCTTGAGGAAACTTTGGAATAAACGGGTTTTTGTATATAATGAGTGTTCGATTATGTTAACTGGCAGTACATTCATACTTTTGAAAATCAGTACATTTTCGGCATAGAGCGAAAAGTTAAAACAAACAATAACTATAAAAGAGGTTCAATTGTTTGTCTTAATCTCTAACCGCGATATTAGCTTGCATAAGCCTAGGCCTATATCACAATATTTAACAATATACAGTATATATACATAATGATATTATTACAAAATGTTTGCGTCTTGTATCATAATTACAAAAAAAATAAATAAACCGTATGAACAATGATGTAAACAGCAAAAATAAGAATCTTTTCTTCAAAAGTGGCGAAGGTTCATTGATACTGGGAAACCTGTCATGCTGCTGTTAGGGCTCTAGTACTTTCGAGGTTAGATTATTGCAATTCTCTGCATACTGGTCTACTAAAGAAAAATACTTACACTGCAAAAAAACTTCAAAATGCTGCTGCCAGACTTATATTTTATTGTAAAGCTCGTATACCCACATCTTCGTGAACTCCATTGGTTATACGAGTCCCACAAAGAATTGAATTCAAACTACTCTTATAGTCTGCAAATCTCTTTTGGGCGTATGCCCATAGTATATTTATCAACAAACGTACAAATTTGCGATCAACTCGATCGGCCTTCACAACACATCTTGTCAGACCATTGTCCCATTAGTGTATTTTTTCCATCTACAAAGGCTCGACTTTGGAATATCCTGCCACCTTCCATAAACACTTCTGTCAGAGGAGTTTAAGGCAACCCTTAAAACATGTATGTTCAACTGAGTTTATTGTATGTTGGGTTAGGTTTGGGAGTTTTTTTTAATCTTTTTATTATTACCATTGACTTACTTTGGTCATTGGCTTATGAAAGCATACTCTGGTTTTGGTTGGTGCTGTCTCTTATACACATCTAGATGTGTATAAGAGACAGCCCCTGGTGGAGGGTAGTTACGCTTTGTAACCGCAAGGGATAAGCGCTGTAGAAATACCAAGTAACAACTAACAACAAGTGCAGACAAACTTCGTGTTTTTGACAAACAGTATACCACTTCCGTATTATTTCACAAAAGAACATCATGAGAATAAAAATCATCCACACCAGTAGCACCCATTGGTTTTGGCTGTGGCCATAGGGGTTAAAGCGACAGGATCCTCTTGTGGGTTCCAGGGGTAAAGATTTGACGGGGACTGAGGTGACGTTCCCAGTATATTTGTAGTTTGAATTGATTGAGATAATGTTATCAAGAGACAGACAGAAGTGACGCCAGGATTTCGCCTGTGGGCGCCATACCCCCGAACATTTTTCAAGTTTTTAGGAGTATTAAAGTAAAGGGCACCAGAGTCTTCCAAAGTTCATTTCAGTCTGAATTAGTAGTAATGAAATAAAAGGCATCATTCTTCCGAAGATTTTCAGTTTTTAATAGTATTAAAGTAAACTGATTTGATAGCATGACTTATGGAATTTGGAATAATAAAATATTTTCATTAAATTTTCTTGTGCAGTAGGCGTAAGTAGGAATACGATTAACATTTTAAATACAGTATATTATTCATCAACTATAATTCTGACTGCCCCAATGCAAGTAAATTACACTCAAACCTGTAGTGATGATGAGAATTGAAAAGTTTGGGCTAGAATCTAGTCTGCATTGCGCAATCATTGGCTTTTTTCAGTTTTTAAACTATTATAATACAATAGCACTTTACAATCACCCACACATAACCCAAGCTTATACATAAATCACACAAACACGATAAGAAGAGAGGTGTTTGAACACGATTTACGAGATAATAGGTAGTTTTTGCTGCACGACGTTAACCTTAACTTTAACGTTAGTACCCAACGTGCAACGCGATAGCTCCGCTCCTTTTTGTAAACAAATAGAAATACGTATGCGCAAACCCGTAACTATCGTACGTCGAGCAGGTAAAATACTGAAATTAACGTACTCCGCAACGCAAGATGAATAAATTATGACGTCACCGTTAACGCTAAGGTTAATCTCGAAAACTACCTATTAATATATGATTTGAAACGATGCCTTTTAAGTTTTCAAAAGTAGGCAATTAGGCTAGCTTAATTGTTTGTTTTATTTAATGCAAAATAATTTTACATATGGCAATCATCAATATGAAAAATTCATAGCATTCCAGAATAATTGAGCTGTATCAGTCGAAATTCTAATAGGGCTCGTTGTTGAAAAAGCTAAGCAATAAAACTACAATTACAAAGACGCCCTCGCTCTGCCACCCGGCTAACTCAAAAGAGGGCGATTGGCGAATAAACCTTTTCTATTCAGGTACCATCAAAACGTCAGCGGCAGACTTGATAATATCCTATACTATACTATACTATACAGGTCATACTGCCAACAGTATAACAAAGAGCAGCAAGATCTGTACTCGTTACGACCGGTTCGACATCGACAGTGTATAACATCTATATTGAATTATCTAAAATGGAAATCACATAAAAGGAGACCGAAAACAGCTTGTATCTCTGCGGCGGGTGCGGGGGTGGGGAGGGGTTGGTGTGCAGACGGTGCGATCGCACCCTGCTAAATTTTATTAAGAAAAATTAATGTTTGTAGGCTTATTAATGTAGCCTATTGCTTATATTAATTACCATTAATTACCGATAAGATTTTTAAGGTATGAGAGTGCAGTTTACGGACATATTCTCAAAATTTTCGCATCTCATCCCCAACAATGGTGGGGCCGGCTGAGGTGATGTGGACTCTCACGCACCCCTACTGCCAAATCCTGCATCCGCCCAGTATCTACTTACTCTGCAAGATTCGACTGCAACTTGTGGTCATTCTATTATGAAACTCCAATCTTTTTTCCTCAAACGTTCATGGTAGTTGCACACAATATACTACGACTTCAAGGCCGTGATCATCTGTTGAGCATCTAGATGTGTTGCTTTGCCCTCCAGATGTAAGGAACTTTGCTTGAATAATAATATTTATTTATATAGCGCATTTTCATTCAAATTTACATTTACAATATTAAAAAATAGCAACATTATACAATGAAATTACAAAAAATGTTATATGGAAAGACTACAAAAAATATGATTATCATTATTAATTACATCATTAAAATAAATAAAAATTCTCCAATCATATCAGTTAAAGGGTATCTGCGTTTCACAAGAATATTCAGTAATACAGTATTAATACCCACCGTTTCAGACTTCTCTAACATCTTGTGTGTGTGTGTGTGTGTGTGTTTTCTTTTCGTTTACATTTACTTCTTTCCTCACATTTTTTTTTCTTTTTCCAAGGCGCTCGCTATAGCATAAAGATTTGTATTATGCGCTTTTGCACATTGAACGCAAAATGCACTGGCCATACAGGGTCGGTTCATATAGGCCGCAATAGTTATGCGTCTTCAAGTAGGCGTACCTAGGTTTTCAGCAATAGTTCGAATCTCACTAACTTCGCGGTTGTTGTGAACTTGGTTTTCTTTTTTTTACTTCACAATTTGTTTAGTATTATAAGTATTTTGGGTTTCCGTTTTTTTATACTTTTTAACGACTTTATTTTTATTGCAATTTCAAAATAATTTCTCATTATATCAATGAGAAAAATATTATTATTATTATAGACCTATTATTATTATATTAATATTATTATTGCTGTTGTTATTGTTATTGTTGTTGTTATTATGTAGGCCTACATCCATGTGCACACGCAAATTACAAGATAAGCAATTACATATATTTATTTAATATATATAGGCCTATATAATATATTAAATATATATAATAGGCCTATATATATATACCGGTATAATAATAATGATTATGATAATGATAATAATAATAATATTAATAATAATAATTAATAATAATAATAATAACAATAATGCAAGTCTTATATAGCGCATAATACAAGAAAATTGCCTCTTTTATGCGCTTATATATATATATGTATATATATATATATATATATATAAGCGCATAAAAGAGGCAATTTTCTTGTATTATGCGCTATATAAGACTTGCATTATTGTTATTATTATTAATTATTATTATTAATATTATTATTATTATCATTATCATAATCATTATTATTTTTATTATCATGTTATTATTATTATCATCATTATTATTATATACATATGTGCACAAGCAAGTAAAATACAATATAAGCAATTACATATATCTATTTCTTAACAAATTTAGAAGGGAAATTGATTAAAGTCAGACTCCGGAGAAAAACAAAATGTTGATATGTTGTAGAACTGATATTTATAAAACAGAAAAAAAGTTGTTTGACGAAAAACTAGGGAACGGTCAATGAGATACAATTTTTTAAATATTTAATAACTGGTGAAAAAAGGGCGGTTACGTACGTCCCTTTCCCCACACCCCCAGTTTTTGAATATTCAAAAATCAGTTCTACAATAATTCAAAATATTTTTTCCTCCGGAGCCTGTCTCCGAAGGAAGAAAAAGAAAAAGAAAGAATTACATCAACGCGGTAAGTTAGAATCCAACGTCAT